GGGGCGTTTCGCCAGTAGAGAGAGGTCGGGGTAAGTGGGAGTCAAAAAACAAGCTGGTCCCGGGAAGTAAAATTGGTTACTCAGGACAAGGGGTAAAACAGGACCAGGGAAGGGTAGATTTAAATGTATACTATACAAACATTAGGAGCGTTAGAAATAAAATAGACTTGCTGAGAGCGGTTGTATGTACCGAGAATGTAGACGTCATAGCAATCACCGAAACTTGGATGAATCTGGCGAGCAACATTTTTTCATCAGAGTACCACATAGAAGGGTACAACCTTTTTCACAAGGACAGGAAAGGTAGGAAGGGGGGAGGAGTCGCACTCTTCGTCATGGATACATTAAAATGTTGTATTAATAATTCAATAAAGAGATTGAAATAAGACCGGAGGTCTGTATGGGTAGAAATCACGGAAGGAAGAAAAACTAATTATGGGGTGATTTACTGTACAAGGCTTAGGAAGGAAACAGCTCAGCCCATATGTGAGAATAGTAGGGCAGCAAATATAACAACCTGTGCATTATGGGGATTTCAACTTCAGAAATATTGCCTGGGACTTAACATTGTAGGTGACTATGAATCTGAAGGAGCTTCCTGGGCCAGTACAGGACAATTTTTTGGAAACAACTAATTACAGAGACCTACTAGAGGTGACAATATATTAGACCTAGTATTAACAAATAAAAGAAAAATATTATCAGAGATATCACAGCAGGGGGAAGAACTAGGTAACAGTGATCATAGAGAAATCAGGTTCACCCTAAATTGGGAATCGAAAAAATCAATGACAATCTGTTCAGGGAATCCCCAAAGTTTCGAATGCCGGATTATATCGGGGTTAAGAAGGTACCTAGGTGAGGTCACCTGGGAACAGTCTATGAGTCACCAGTTGAAGGGGGTGAGGTCATAGATGACACAACAATTGATCATAACTATAATGCTGTTCACTAGTTTGCTACATAAAGCACAAGAACAAACTATATCATACAGAAAAATTAGGTCAAATAAGAATGAGCCAAGATTGGATGACCAGAAAACTTAAACATGACATGTAGGAATAAAAAATGAATATACATTATAAGAAATAGGTATAATGAACTATCTAGGAATGTTAAGAAAAATGTAAGGAAAGCAAGGAGGAACTATGAAATCCAAATTAGCAAGAGAATCCAAGGCCTAATCCCAAGGGATTTTTCAGGTATATAGAACCAAAGGTCTAGGACAAAGTTGGGCCTTTAAAAGTCGGGGAGGAGAATTGAAAGAGAATGGCAGTGAAGAAATAAGCAAAGCATTGAACAGCCACTTCTTATCAGTTTTCACAAAGGAAATTCGCTATATGAAATTCCAGAGGTGGAACGATATTTAAGAAAACGGAAGAAGAATTAAGAATATCACTATCACAAAAGAGGATGTTCTTAGAAGATAAATAAACTAAAAAGACCAAATTCCCCAGGGCAGCATGAAATTTTCCTCGAGGTCTTGAAGAGTGTAGGGAACAGATTAAGCGGACCCCTAAATGGCTTTTATTTACAAAATCATTGTTAGACACTGGGTTATTGTGCCAGACTTGTGGGGAAACAGGCAAATGTAGTACCCATACTCAAAAAAGGGACACAGAGCATCAGCGTCCAAGTGCAGGCTGATCAGTTTGACGTCAGTAGTGAAATTTCTTGGATAATTATAGCAGATAACATCCGATCGCATTTATAGAAAAGCAAATTAATCTACGACTCTCAACATGGGTTTACAAAGGGAAAATCTTGTCTAACAAAATCTGCTGATATTTTTTTTAGGAAAGTCTTCCGAGGTAGTAGATAATGACGAAAATTACGATTTTATTTACTTAGACTTTAGCAAAGCATTTCACAGAGTGCAGCATCAGAGGCTTCTGAGAATTTGAGAATTTTTGTGAAATGGTAATACTAAGAATTCTTATGGTGGGTGGGCTTGGGATCAGTTCTATGCAGTTCTTTACAACTAAAACCTGGAACGTCAATGTGGCATTTTAAAACTCATGCACTGTTAAACAAATGTTAATCAAGAACTCCCCCAACACAATGGGTTGCATTTATAAAGTCCCTTGCAAGGAATGTAATATGTTTTACTAAGGCCAGACAGGTAAAGATCTTGTAACTAGACTTAAACAACATAAATATAGTGTCAGGACAAGCCAGGAATCCAATGCTCTATTTGTTCATCTCAGGGATAATAAGCATTGCATTGACTGGGATATTGCCTCCTCAACATTACCTTGTAATTCAATTGACAGTAGAACATTATAGAATCTAGTCTCATTAAACATACCGAAGCAGTCAACATGAATTTGAGTAATGGCATGTACAAACTGGACAATTTTGTAATTAAGAAGATTTGTAACCAGGTGAGAAGGTTGGGTCACACACCTTTGACCTGACTACCGACAGTTGCCGTGCTTTTTAAAGATGAGTAGGGTCATTACCTAATACCTGACCATTATGGACCTGATCTCACCCTCCTCTGTATATATGTACCTTGTTTTGTACTTCTCCTTAGTCTGTACTCACCCCTGAAGAGAATTACATGAAAGTGCTTGGGAACGTGTTTCTTCTTTCCTTGTGGTTATCTGTAAGCTTAGGATAATTATGCATTTAAAAATGGCTAAATATGCATGCAAATATGCAGTAAAACTGAGAAAATATGCACTTTAAAATGTTAATAAATAATAACTACTGAGTTAATAACTCCTTTTCTATACATTTTCTCAGTAAATTTACTTTCCCAGACAGGATGTCGCCGAAGTAAGATTTTTAAAGAATTTATTAAATACAAAAAAAACAATATACTGACATAAAGTAATTTATTAAACAATACTGAAAAAGTATTTTCCTTTTAAGAAAATAGAAGAACAAAAGAGTGTCAGGAGGGAACTAATGGATCTCGTGCATCTAGACCCTGCCTGGCTGAACACGAACCCATCACGCACAGAGACGTAGAGCGAGGGGCGACCTGATAGAGGTGTACAAGTGGAAGGCAGGGCTAAACAAAGGGACATTACAAAGGTACTCAAACTATCCAACCAGGAGCGAACTCAACAATGGTTTTAAATTAGACAAATTTAGATTTAGGCGGAAATAGGTAAACACTGGTTTGAAACAGGTGGTGATAATGGAACAGTTACCAATCATCATTAACTCGAATACGCTGAATACTTAAACATAGGTTGATGCTTATATGACAATAGGGGTTGGTGTAAACGGGACTGCCCAGTATGGGCCAATAGGCCGCTGCAGTTTCCTCCATTCTTACGTTCTTATGTTCATGTCCACTGACCAGCCAATCACGGCCTAGCTAACCACAGCCTAATGTTGAGCTATATAAACGTCACTTAAGTATATTTCTTGTGGATATGACGCCAAAACAAAATCGCGTATTTTCGATTTTGTTTTAGTGCAAATAAAATGGACTTTTATATTTCAAATATCACTAATTTCTGCCCCAGCGTTGCTGTTATGCTCGTGAATTTTTCCCTCTTGAGATTGAAGAATGTTTTATAATATTTTGGAATTTTCCAAATATATGCCTATAAAAACAAAAATATGAATATGCACTTTAGCTCAAAATGGCAAATATGCATTTGCATATGCACATATGCAAATGATATTATCCAGGTATATGCTGATAACTTATCAGCATATACCTGATCTACCGCAACTACAGTGATTTACTTGCATATATATATATATATATATATATATATATATATATATATATATATATATATATATATATATATATATATATATATATATATATATATATATATATATATATATATATATATATATATATATATTTGTCAGACATTTGTGCGTCTGGTGACTGTTGGTGGTGGCATCGGGTGGTGTTGGCGGTGTGGATGATGATGACGCTGGTGTTAACACGAAGCTATGCCGGCAACCTCATGGCCCTCCTGGCCGTGAGACACATTCCTCAACCTTACCAGAGCCTCCGGGACGTGCTAGATGACCCATCTGTAAACATGATATGGCAAGAAAACTCTTTACTGTCCTATCAGATACAGGCATGTTCATATCTAGTTCCCTTAACAACTATGGTAAACATTTTTTCGGCTGTTTTATTGAACTCGTATATTTAGTTAATTAAATACCAGATAGCGTAGAGCTTAGGCTACTTTTAATATACCTATGTTTCATACACCGTTTTTTCTGCACAGGATATTAACTGAGGTGTATGGCGTATTTGTCAAAAAAATAACAATGTCGATGCACAATAACCTCAGAAGTGAATCACGATACTAATAATAATATTATTATTATTGTTAATCATGATAGCTGGTCTTTTGTTCTTCAAAAGAATTCACTAGCGCTCGAAGTACTACAAAGTCAAAGACGAGACTAAAAAGAAATCCTGTTCTACGATAAAAGTCACAAAAATGGGACAGTTTGACTTCTATCATTTATATGGTCTTCTTACGTTTAATCAGTTGTACTGTGTAATATACTGTACTAGACTGTTGGGAAAGTTGTTGAGGGAGATGAATAAGAGATGTCTGTTATAATTGGTAATTAAAACCTTCAAATACAATAATCATATTATATGGAGAAGGATTTATATCTTGTGTACAATTTATTTTAATTATACATTTACTTTACGTTTAATAGATCAGTTTTAAAGCGTTAAATAGGATCCATTAAATGCTATTTGATTATTAATATCCCTAACATTTACTTCTTAGCATATTATGTATAAATAAGCTTGATATTGCCTTTTTATTATAATGTATGAGGTCTATTAACATTAATGTCTTACCCCTTTTAAAACCAAAAGATTGTGTAGGATATTATAATTCTTATGTTTCCCACATATATTTTAAGCATCATAATATGCTCTAAATATGAAGTAAATTATTGCATTAAAATGTCCGTACAAGGAAAACAATTTATAATATTACGCGTTAAAATTCTATGCTGATGCTTTTCCCTAAATTTCAAGTCCGCTGCGTCTGGGATATACCGTGAGGTGGCAGACCTCAAGAAAGTTGGGCGTATCATATACAGACAGTTGGGGGAGTTTCCCAAGATGGCTGATACATTAGTGAGAGCCGGCGGCCACACCCTCGTCGATGTTGATATTAACATTAGAAACTCAATGGCTCAGGATGTCTCACGAACAGGTTAATATCTTTATTCTTGATTAAAAGTGTTCTTAGATATTTGGTGAAACATTCATGTGTTCCTTTTTTACATCCATTCTTTTTAAAGAACAACCGTCCATATGGATATAGTCCTTAAGGAAATGTGCTTCATCAGCGTATCTATTCACCAAAAATTCACAATCCATATTGATGGACAGCTTCGATGAATAAGCACATGAAAACCCACAATGATGGTCACTTAAAACTTAATTTTTCAACATATCTTCAGGTCGATGCGACTACTACATGTCGAGAGAAAAAGTCCTGTCTTTTCCCTTCGTTATGATTCTCAAGAAGTACAGCCCTCTCACTCCTGTCATTAATAAAAGGTGAGGAATGTCTTAGTCTTATTATTGACTCTAGTAATTGTATGTGTATTATGCCAATGAGTGTGGATGGAGATATATCTTGCAGATCCACAGTGGGAAAGGTTGAGAAGATAAATATTAATAAAAACTTATAGGAAAAGGGAATCGCTGGAACACTTAGTGTTCCAGTGATTCCCTTTTCCATTGAGTTATATATACATATATATATATATATATATATATATATATATATATATATATATATATATATATATATATATATATATATATATATATATATATATATATATATATTAATCCATTTCAATTACTGTACGAAGGGTTATGGCAATACACGAAGCAGGACTGATGGACAAGTGGATCAAGTATAGTGTTGGAAATGCAACGACCTGTGTGCAGGCGCCACAGAAAATTACCGTAACCTCAAATCTCTCTATCACAAATCTCTGGGTATTTAATCGTTAAACCAGTATCCAGCATGTGCAGTAGAATTTCACTTAGTATTAAAATGCATGCATTTAAATCCTGCTGGATGTAAAGTTTTTTCACATAAAAGTTTTATTATTATACTTAGGTTCTATGATTTTTAACATCTGTTCACAATAAAGACAGCATTAAATACTTTTCACTCTATCACTATGTGTACTTAATGTTTACGATAAGCTACTAAAATATGTATCAGATTCTACACTAAGGTTTATATTTTTGTACGTATTTGTTCCTAACAAATCAAATCTATTATATTTATACTCATCAGCCGTAGTAGTAGACGTAGTAGTAGTAGTAGTAGCGTGGCGTGGGTGTAATTGTGTGCCCTGCCCTCCCTGGTTTATAGCGATTTTGGAGGGGACATACTCAGTAGGCTGGAACAGAACTTCACAGTGTGTCGGTAAGTATCGGACTTTCACCCTAAACATTGCCACTGAAGATTCTCCTCATCCCTTAAGGCATTGATTGCAAATTTCCATGCGTGTACCAGCGATCACCAGGGGAGTTTTAAGTGTGACGGTTGGTAATGCCGGTCGCCTCATTGTGTGGTAGGCCTACTTAAGATCGAACGGTTTCGAGACTCCCGCCCCTAAGGCCAGTGATAGATGGTCAACAATTCTATGCCTGCTGCCACTGCCCACACGCAAACAGACACCTCGGGAAGTGCCAGCCACCCTCCACACCCGACAAAGTAAGACTTTATTACATACTTACATCAGTGTGATCATAGAAATTGTGATTATTCCCGCCATAGATATAGACTGTTGCCTTCATCCCCCCAGGGGTGGCTTACACATCCATACCCATTGCATCCTTGACCACCGAAGGGTCAAGACGTACCTGGCGCTCCTCTCGGAGCAGCCAGGTCAACTGTTAAGTTGGCCCATAACAACCCCCTCCCCTGAACCCTCCTCCCCACCGGAATATCAACAAGTTCTCGCCAGAAGTTACAATTTCATTTTGAAAGGAACGGAACCAGTGTTAAACAGAGGTGAACAGTGGTGAACAGTGCTTAAGTCAGTGGGAACAACTCAATAGTAACAGTCGTACCCAAGTTAACCTTCACACAGTGAGGTCCCAGGTACCCAGTGATAACGGCCCCCGCGAGACCCAAAAAACAACCACCGATGTGTTAATCCGTCTACGATAGGAAGGCCTGGGACCAAACCTCACTCATATAACACCATCTGTGAGGGAATTACTACACCACAAGTCCCTCATCACACCATCTGTAAGGGAATTACTACACCACGTGAGGTCCCTCATAACACCATCTGTGAGGGAATTACTACACCACGTCAGGCCCCTCATAACACCATCTGTGAGGGAATTACTACACCACGTGATGCCCCTCATAACACCATCTGTGAGGTAATTACTACACCACGTGAGGTCCCTCATAACACCATCTGTGAGGTAATTACTACACCACGTGAGGTCCCCCATAACACCATCTGTGAGGAAATTACTACACCACGTGGTCCCTCATAACACCATCAGCGAGGGAATTACTATACCACGCCAGGTCCCTCATAACAACATCTGAGGGAACTACTACACCACGTGAGTTCCTCCTATCACCATCTGGGAGGGAGTTACTACACTACGAGTTTGCTGTTCAACACCAACATTAATCTGTATGTTCACTGTATGTTCCTTTACCTTTCTCTAATGAAGGCTTTTGTTAAACCACCAATGTATGTAATAAGTCATTTATGTCCAATGTATATTTTCAGCCTTCGGGCTGCAGAATTTTTTCAATAAACCGTTAATTATTATTATTTATTATTATTACGTATGTCCCTACTACCCGGACACTGCAGTCCAACCTGTCACCTCTCTGCCCTTTTCTCGTAAGAAATAGTTTCCTCCGAATGAAACCAAAGCAGATATCAGTGGCAGACATTCCTGTTGCCCGAAGTGTGGAGCATTGTGCCGGGCAACTGTTTTTGCTGCATTTGTCCTAGCCGGAACCAAAATTGCACAAGCTGTGAGTGTGCGAGAAACAACCGCTGATGTGTTGGGCGCAGAAAGGGGAACAATTGTCGGTCTCCCCAGGCCAGGGAGCCGTCACGGGAGGACACAGTCTATATCGCCTGGACACCACCGCTGGATGATATCCGGAATGATAGCACTGAGTCAACTTAGTCTGAAAATGTAGTACTAATAAATGCTGCTCCAATAGTAGCTGATGTCCACAAGGTGAATGACAGACAGCCACCACAGTGGAATGGCATGTTGATGGAAAATGCTGATAAATGGGTTAAAGAAACCTACCCAGAAATTGTCAGGTGGTCGTCAGCTAACCTCTTTGAACCACCCAAGTGTGCGGCCACTAAAAAAATTATTCGGGAGATGACTCGCCTCATAATCGAGTTCACTCAGGCCATAGTGGAAATAATACCCCATCTATTCTTTCAGAGAACACACGCAAGGTCTAAGTGCAAAGAAATGTGGCAGCAATGAAGAGAAGATTGACAATTTGGCAGAAAGGGGCCCTTGATGATCTCCTACGTGAGTAAAGAACACTGCAGGAGAGACTAAAATTTATAGGAGGACAGCAAAACACCGAGGATGTTGCCAGAAAGCTTATTAACAAGATGCGGGTGGGAAAAGTGTCCTTGGCGGCAAGCTCTCTCAGAGAAATCTTCCGGTGGTGTCCTGCCAACAAACAATTAGACATTACAACAACTAAAGGAAAAACATCCCCCCTGCAAGTGAAGAGGAAAGCATCAGGTTCCAGGAAGCCTATATCCCTCCAAATGCTGTCATGTTCGAGGAAATTACAGGATGAATGGTGTGGAATAATGCACTGAAGACTCAGGGAGGTACCGGCCCTTCAGGCCTGGATACAGACGGTTGGAGAGTCACCCTCAGTATTAACAAGTTTGGCTCCGATGCAAGTGATCTCTGCAATGCCATCGCCTCCCTTGCAAGAAAGCTAGCAACCTCGTGTTGTCATCACCTTCATGTTCTGACGGCCTGCCGCACTGGATAAAAATCCAGGATGTAGGCCTTTCAGGGTGTGGGAAGTGCTTTGGCGGATCATTGGACAATGCATAATGGAGATGGTAAATGACGATGTCAGGGCAGCTGCAGAGAACCTGCAAGTATGTGTTGGCCACCAGGCTGGCGGGGAACCTGCCATTCACGCCATGAGACACATATTTGAACTGCGTGATTCTGAGGCAGTACTCCTGGTTGACTCTTCCAATGCATTCAACATAATCAACCGCAAGGCTACACTGCACAACATCAAGATCAAGTGTCCAAGCTTCACAATGTATGTTGAAAACACCTTTAGGAACCCATCAGACCCCTATACAACAAGCTTCAAGGTCCTAAGAGGAAATACCGTCAGTCAGTCAAGTGCGGGAACAACGCAGGGGGACCCTGTCGCCATGGCAATGTACGCACTAGTCCTGTCTGTGCTCCAACATACAATACAATATGAAAAAAATGAGGTCAAGCAAGTGGCATACGCTGATGACCTAACAGGAGCAGGAAAAGTGGAGGACATCAAAAAGTGGTTGGACCTGATGACATCACGAGGTCCATATATAGGGTGCCATCCAAACGCCAGTAAGTCCTTCCTCATTGTGAAGCCAGAATGCAATTTAATTTAATTGAATCCGTTTATTTAGCCAAAAAAACACAGATACAGAGTGGATGATAATTACAATATTAACATGGCTGAGCCAGTTAAGAACCTGAGCTCTCTTGTAGGCACCTGATATATACTGTAAATTTATCTCAAGGAAGTATTATGTGACATTTAGTATCCTCTGGAATACTACAATAGCATGGTGGTAATAAGAAAATATCAGTATGTTACCACGGTTATCACATCAATATCATCTAAGCTCTTGGGAACTTCGTGTTTTCTTCTTTCCTTGTGGTTATCAGCATATACCTAGATCACGCGCACCTACAGTGATTTACTTGCATATATATATATATATACATATACATATATATATATACATATATATATACATATATATATATATACACACACATATATATATATATATATATATATATATATATATATATATATATATATATATATATATATATATATATATATATATATATATATATATATATAAAACCGGTCGGAATTTACTGGACTTTAATTTCTCACTTGACTTGGGGTTTATTAAAGATTATTAGATGGTAATGGCAGTGGAAGCGCCCCTTTGAGAAAAATCCCGAACCAGCACAAGAACACTTAAATCTACTAAACAAAATGACTTGTCCGTGACCCGTGGAAGGATAGCGTCTGTGACTGGGATGAATGAGACACACTGTAAAATTTAGACACTTATATTCCCTCCAACACTACAAACACAATCAAATAATGGTACACCAATATGCGTACCTCTTAACTTGAACTTAAAACACTACTCTGGGGAATAAAAGTTATACATGATATTGACATTATTAGAAACTCAGGCAACAATAAATTTGAAGTATTAAGAAATGTTGCTTGCACACATGAAACAGGCCTTAAGGGTTTTCACAGAATAATATCCACCACTGTGGAAGTGGTATAAAAATAAGAAATTATTAATTCCACCATGAATAGGCCTAAAGGGCACTCAATATAATTATGTTACACCAACAGATGCAGGCCTTAAGTGTTTTCAACAAAATAATATCAGTCACTGAGGAAATGGTATTAAAAAATAAGAAATTAAATACTCTACAATGAATAGGCCTTAAGGGCACTCAATATAATTATGTTACACCAACAGATGCACACCTCCTAACCTAACTTAAACACTACTCTGGGCAACAAAGGTTATATCAGAGATTGAAACTATAAAGAAATTTTAAATGCACACAGCATACATTAGTAACTGAAAAAATAGTATTAACTACACACAAATATATTGTCACTATTATAAAGACGTTACTGAGTCCAATACCCGTGAACCATGCTCCCTAACCTAACA